TCATTCCGTAACTAAACATTTTTCTCGAAAATAATTAGATAAAATTTAGCAAACTAAATTCTTATCAATTAAAAATTTATCCCACTTTCAAAAGTTTCATTTCATTTTTTCTTCATTTCCTTTATTTATTTATTATTATTTCTTTTATTTATTTTTTAATTACTTTTATTATTTTTTCTGATTATTTACTCAAAAATCATAATATTAAATGATTTCGTAAATTAGAATATAAAATCGATGCTAATACTACCATTTTTTATAATCTCTTTTTATTATGTTTTTTAAATATGTACATAAAATATAAAAATAAAAAATTGATAGGTATATATAGTTATTTTATTATTACATATTGTAGTGAATGACTAATAATTATTTATAATTAAAAAAAAACAGATTGGAATCTAGAAAATCTATAAAAAGATTTGAATTAATTGAAAGTAAAATTGAATTATAAATATTATTGCATTGTATTGAGAAAAAATGTAATCAATTATTATGCTTTTTCATATCAAAATGTGAAAAATATAATAATAATCAATTGAGAGACAATTAGAAATTTTTATTTAATTAAAATATAAAAATGAATACACATTCTTTATTACTTTTTTTAACTTGTAAAAAAATTCATAAAAGGCAATTTCGATTAATAGATTTCGATAATTCATTGAGAAACCTTTATTAACTTGTTCTGAATTATTAATAATGAAAAAAAAACAATAAAATTATTACAAAAATGAAATATTTAATTAGAGGAACTTTTTACAACCGAAACATTCTTGAAGAGATCAATATGAAAAGCTCTCAAAAAATAACTGATTATAAATTCAGGCATAGATGTATTTATATTCATATATATATACATATTTATATTTATTACAATAAATAAGTATATAATTTAATATATTAAAAAATAATAAATAAAAAAATAAAACATTAGTATTAATTTATCCTAATTATTATTAATTTTTTAAATTATAGTTCAATATTTATTTTGATATTTACAATAATTAATAATTTATACTAAATAATTATTATAATATTTAAAATGATAATATTCATTGGCTATAGAAGCCAATAAAAAAATTATTTAATAAAGAAAAATATCGAGATTCGGATTTAGAAAACAGTTTATTCTGATTTATCTTGAGAGAGAATAATAAAAAAAAGGAAGATGAAAAATAAAATTGCAAAAATGTCAATTTTTCTTTATCGTCGTCGACAGGAAGGGACTTGATCGAGTACTCAGCAAAATTTACGGAATTGACTGTACGCGATATGTGTGCGCAGATGAAAAAAAAAACCAAGAATAATCTCGAATACGAATTTGTTCGCTCCAACTATCTATATAGCTATATCTTCTTTTTTTTAAGAGTTATTGTCAGCAATATTCTGGGTTTGCGCAAAAAAAAAAAAAGAAAAAAAATTACAATGACATGGGATGTTATAGAAACCTATAAAAATCTCTCGAGAGCACAAATGGAGCTTTAAAAGTGTATATTCAATCGAACAATGATCATAAACCATTACTCGAACAGTTTATTTTAATATACCATATAAAAATCGCAATGAAGTGAAATTATCTTTGAAATTTAATAAAAATATGAATTTTTAAGAATTACATTCTTTTTCGATTTATATCGTTTAAGAGAATTTAAGTGGGGTAATAAGAATTTATAATTAGACTTCTAATTAATTTTATGTTTCGATTAAAATTTTGTAAACTTAGTTTAAAATTCTTTTAAATTACAATTTTTTTTCTAATTTTTATACATTTGAAATTTTTTTATATAAATTGAAATAAATAGTTAAATAATCAAATTAACGAATAACAAATAAAAATAGGTAATTAAAATAAATCAAAATATAAAACAAAAGAAAAAAAGGAATATAAAATTAAATAGAAATTTCTAATTTTTATATATTATTATTGTTATTATTATTTATTGTTTATTGTTTATTGTTTATTATATATTCTCGTAAAAATTTATATGAAAATTTTTTATGTAGTTTTTTTTTTTTAAAGTATATAAAAACTAAGTATGAAAAACAGACTTTAAAAATTTTGTAATAAACCATTCAATACTTTTTAACTTATGAGTAATTAAAAAGCATTAATCAAGCTTGCTTCGTTCAAAACTCGTCACGATTAAACAGTAATTTACTGAGTAAACTTTATACTTTTTATGAAACTCCCTTTTTCTAACTTTTTTATCCTTTAGATTATTTTACACAACTTTAATGAACAATCTTTCTTAATTATTTGCTTAATTAAACTGAAATAAATTAAAAATCAATAGCCAGTATAAATTAATTCTACACTTTTAGTTAAAAAAAAGGAATAAATAATATAATTTAATATAACAAATTTTGAAAGAAAAATTAAATGAGTCTATAGATATTAAAATTTAGCTTCAAATCAATGGTCAGTGAATATAATTGCAAAATTTTTGTCGAAATATAAGCAATATAAGGTCAATATAAGCAATCGTAATTATAATAAATATAGATTAAATTATTTTTCTACGATCGAAGGGTGAATTTGGAATAATTATAAAATTCAGGTCAACGTCGAAAACATAATATTTAAAAATTTTAGAAATTTTACAGTTATTTTGCTTACGTATGACTTTTAAATTTAGGTCTAAAGTTCAATTTTAAGTTTTAAGTTATTTTTGTACTTTTAAATTTAAAAAGTACTTTTATCTTTGAAAATTTTATTTTGGTTCCAATGAGGTTAAAAATAATTTATAGTAAGTATAGTAATTATATCAAAATTTAATTTTTGGTTTTAAAATTGTTTAAAAAGAATCACTAAAAATTTATACTACTACTAATAAATTTTGTTTAAGAGAAAACGTTATTTTACTAAAATTAGTAAACTGATTTAATATTTCTCAATTGCTTTGCGAACGTAATATAAAAATTTAGATCCAAAAGTTAACAACAAGTTATTTTTGTCCATTTTGCTTCGCAAATTTTTGATTTTATTTTTAGTGGAGTCAAAAATGAAAGTAATTTTAGTTACTATAATAAATGTCGAGGTGTTCAATATAATCTTAAAAATTAAGTCTCAATTTTCATAAGGAAATAATTTGCATCAATTCTATTTAATTTCAATTGTTTAAATAAAATTAAGTTTTTTGAAAATAAAGGAGAAAAATGTTTATAAATTATATTTGTCAATTAGAAAATTTAATTGAAAATGAAACTAAAATTTTTTGAATTTTTAGAAAATAAAGGAAAAAATTTTATTGAAAAAAATGTTCTGTTAAATTTATTTACGAATATCTTTAATTGAGCCTCCGGAAAGTATAACCACACATAAAATTCTGACTGTCATGCTAATTCAATGGGCGTCAGAATTTTATGTGTGATTATACTTTCCGGAGGCTCAATTGTAAAATTATTCGAAAAGAATAATTTCTTTTTTAAATATTTTAAATATTTAATTATTATTATTTTTCCGTAGTAATTAAAATTTTCAAAAATTTCAAATACAAACCTTTTTGAAATTAATCAACTTTAAAAATATTGTTATAAAACATAAAGATAACGATTAATAATAATAAAAGAGGATCGAGTGTTAAAATCATTACTTTATATTATTAGAATATTGTTACTCTAACTTCTTAAAAATTATTTTCATATTCTATTATTATTTAAAATTTAAACTAAAATTCATTTTCAAATCAATTTTTATTAGAAAATTCTACGAGAATTCAATTATTTAAATACAAAATGAAATTATTTATTGAATAATTGAATGTTCCTTAAAACTTAATTCTTATAAAGAATTTTATTAACAAATTTTTGAAAATAATTGAATTTTGGAGAAGAATTTTATTATTTATGAAGATAATATTGTGATTTTGACGAGAATGTATCTTTAAATTATAACATAATTGAATTTTTGTAAGAAGAATTTTATTATCTTTGAAAATAATTGAATTTCTGCAATCATTTGTAACTTCTTCAAAATTCAATTTTTATAGTGTTTTTAACTAAAATTCTTCTATGAATCCATTATTTTTAATAATAATAAAATATATATTAAAAAATGTAGGTAACTAATTTCAAAAGAATTTAAATTATTTAAATTTTTCAAAAATCTAAGTTCATTAAAATTTCTAATTAAATTCATTCAACATTGAAATATTATTAAATTTCAAATTGAAACCGTTTGAAGTTTATAATAATTATAATATAATTAATATAATTATTATAATTATAATTAAACATAATAATTTTGATGTAATACACAATAAGTTTGATTTAATAAAAATAACGTTCAATTCAATTATAATTATGAAATATGTTTAAGCCAAACATATGTTTTTAATTGGCTACTTATTTTTGGATTAAAAAAAATTTTTTTTCAGTGCAGTTGAAAAATAAAAAAAAACTCTATAATTGTGAATGAATTTATTTTAACATATTTTTAGAGATTTATGGACTTCACCTTTTTTTAGAAAAGAAGAAAAAAAATTACGCAAAAATTTCGGACAAGAACAGTATAATTAAAAATTGTATACATTTTACTAATATACAACATATCTCTCGCAAAATATATAAAACAGTTTTTTTCCTTTTATACCCGAATATTAAGTACATTACTCTGAATCTTAAATTTTATGAAGCATTTTCAATTATCTTTTGATTCTACCCCAAAAATCCTTGTGTGCCGTATGCTTTTGGCATTATATTGCTGCAGTTGAAATTTCAACTTTACATTTCCCATTGAAGCATATACGGAAGCCGGAAGCTCGTTTCGCTTGGTTCCCCCTTCACTAAATTCGTATCTCAAATTAACCAATGAAGTTCCCTAGTATACGATGAATGTATGTCTGCGTAAATGAATGTGAATTCAAATCTCGAAAATTTCACCTCTTAATAATATAATATACAAAAAAATAAAATAAATTAAATAAACAAATAATTGACCCATTTCACTCTGGATTTATTTAATTGTGTGTGTGTTTTTTTTTCGAAATTTGTTTTAGGTGAGAAACTGTGGATTGGAGGGCTGGAATTCGGCCCCAGGAGTGGCCTGGGGGTTACCCTGGGGACCCGGAAATTGAGGAAGTGGCTAGGAGAGGTGTCGAGAGGCGGAGGAGAACGCTATGAACGCCAGCGTTAATGTCGAGAGGAATTCCTGGCGGCTACCTCCTGACGAGACCGTCCAGGTCGCCGATCCACGATCAAAATCTGCTCAGGTAAAAGAGGTAATCAATGCAGAGAGCAATTTTTTTTATTTCAGTGTTGTCTCTGTGTTTAGGTACACAGGAAAAAAAAGTCTGACTCCGTTTACACCTTAAATTCAGCCCATGTATTTATAAGTCTGTCCTTGTTTAATGGGGCTGACTCCATTTACACCTTAAATTCAGCCTCGAAAACAGGCTGAAAGTAAAACTTTTTTTTTAGTGTGTAAACAATAAGTTTTCACATTTTTCATTTTATGAGAAATTAGTTTAAGAATTATTTTTTTTTTTTGAAATTATTACAATCACTGTTAATTTAAAAGTATCAAATTACAACACGGAGAAAAATATAAAGTAACTTTTACTACTTTCATAGTAAAAAATTTCCGGTAAAGCATTTCTGGTAATTTTTACTACTTTTGGAGTAAATTTTGCTACGTTCGAAGCACATATTTGTAAAAATTAGTAAAATTTACTTTGAACGTAGCAAAATTTACTCCGAAAGTAGTAAAAATTACCAGAAATGTTTTACCGGAAATTTTTTACTATAAAAGTAGTAAAAGTTACTTTATATTTTTCTCCGTGTAGCAATACGAATTGATATAAAAAATTGATACACATTTTTGGCACCAATTTGATCCACTTTTGTCTATAAATTTAATACTTTTAAAAAAACATTGGCTCTTATTAACAGTAAATAGTTAATAATAAATGATAAATAATAATTTAAATTTTAAAAAAACTTATTATTATAATTAATGAATCAATTTGTTATAATTGTTACAATCATGTTTTATAATCTTAATTCTTAATAATTATTTAAAACTAAATGTGTAAATAAATATATAATACAAAATTTCTGATAATAATTATAATAATCGTAAAGATTATTATAATTACTGATTTATCAGTAGAAATTTTTTTTTTTTGATTCTTGAATCAGTAAATTTTAACTAATTGAAAAATAAAAAGACACTCACTGATTACAAATTTTAATTAAAAAATAATGTATTTACAGAAGAATTTTAGTTGAAAACACGAAAAAAATTGAATTTTAAGTCACAAATAATTGCGGAAATTCAATTATGTTCAAAAATTTTTTTAATTCTGTTAAAATTTCAATTATCATTATAAATAATAAAACTCTTCTTATAATTAAATTCTTCTTAAAATTTTTTTTTCAATTATTTAAAAAAAAATGCTGATAAAATTCTACGCAATAAATTATATGTATTATAAGTAGTAAAATTATGTTAGAGTCAGACACAAGTTTATGAATTCTAATTATAAAAAAATCAGTAGTCAAGATTAAATTTGGTCAGACATAACGACAATTTTTGAAATTAAGTACAAGTAGTAATAGTAGGTTTTGGTCAGACATAAATTTTACAAAGTTATAATTAAAAAATTAGTAGTAACTGTAAATTTAGGTAAGAGAAGGCCAATTTTTTATTAAATTGAGAGTAATAAAATTAGGTTATAGTCAGACACAAGGTTTTTAATTCTAATTTTAAGAAAATCAATAGCGAAAATTAAATTTGGTCAGACATAACGACAATTTTTGAAATTAAGTACAAGTAGAAATAATTTGTTTTGGTCAGACATAACTTTTGCGCAAAATTGTAAATTTAGGTCAGACAGAGATAATTTTTTCGAAAAATTATAAGTAATAAAATTAAGTTATAGTCAGACACAAGTTTATGAATTCTAATTATAAAAAAAATCAGTAGTCAAAATTGAATTTGGTCAAACATAACGACAATTTTTTAAATTAAGTACAAGTAGTAATTGTAGGTTTTGGTCAGACATAACTTTAAAAATGTTTTAATTAAATAATTATAATTTATTTTTGAATTATTAAAACTTTTGCACAACACTGCACTTCTTTATTATATTTTAGACTTTCTTACAAGATTTCAGCTCAATTTATTAAATATTTAAAGAGAAAAGTGGTCGAAAAAATTAACATTTAATTTCTAACAGTCACATGCTGTTAATTAAGTATTAAAAATAATGTATTTACAGAAGAATTTTAGTTAGAAATACGAAAAAAATTGAATTTCGAAAAAGTCACAAATAATTGCAGAAATTCAATTATGTTCAAAAATTTTTGATAAAATTTCAATTATCATTAGAAATAATAAAATTCTCCTCCAAAATTCAATTATTAAAAAAAAATGTTGATAAAATTCTACGCAAACATTTGATTATTTTCACAAATAATAAAAATTTAACAAGAATTCAATTATTTACAAATTTTTTATAAATTTCTTTGCAATAATTCAATTATTTTCAAAAATAATAAAATTCTTTTTAGGAATTTAATTATTTTTTTAAATAAAAAAACTCATAACAGAATACCTATCAATGATTTTTAATACAGTTTCAATATAATTCCTCAAAAAATGTAATATTCTTAATAAATTTTATTAAAATGCGTTGAAGGAATTGAATTATTTAAAAATTTGTTGATAACATTCTTTATGAGAATTCAATTTTGAGAAACATTTAATTTCTCAATAAACAATTTATTTTTGTATTTAAATATTGAATTCTCATGGAATTTTCTAATTAAAATTGATTTAAAAATGAATTTGAGTTAAAGTTTTAAATAATAATTGAATATTTAGAACATTATTAAATGAATTTTTAAAAATAATTAAATTTTAAAAAGGTTTCAAATTAAGATATTTGAAAATCTGAATTTTTTGTAGTTTTAACTAACAATTCTATAAAATTAATTTTTTTGAAAAAGTTTATAATAATATTCTCATAAATTATTGAATTAATTTAAAAAAAAAATGACTGCAAGGAAAAATATTTCCATTTTTTAACGATGTGATTCGAACTTTCAAGTCGTTGATTCTCATTCCATGGTGAATTTTATCTTCATTATCAAGTAAAAAAACTTTAAAATGTAACATTATTTATATTTTTGTTTAAAGTTTAGAAACTTTATACACATTTCAAGGTAAAAGGTTCTGAAACAAAAAGTTCTGTACTTAATGCTTCTATATCTACAATACCTACATTTCTATAAAAGAATAATTTTAAATCTTGAAAAATTCTTTTCGAAAACGTTTCAAAACTAATATAATTTTTAAATTCTTTTTTATAATTTATATTCTTTTGCCATAAAATATTTAACTGCAAAATTTTTTTCCCTAAATTCCGCATTTATTTAAAACGTGATCTGGAATATAAATTGAGAAAAAAAAATACAAAAATCCAATAAAAGATCGCATATTTTACTTTCTTTTTTTCAGAAAAAATACGTATTATTAGAGCAATAAGAAAAAAATTATTTTCTAAATTAAAAATATACATGAATTACTTATTGCTAAAAATATAAAAATAACAAATAAAAAGAATAACTTTTTATTTTATTATATAACTTGTTTTTTCCCGTTTATATTGAAATGAATAAATTAATTAATTAAAAAATAATAGATACAAATTAAATTTCAAAAATATAAATTTATAAAATTAATAATAAAATTAATAAAAATAATAGGTGCAAATAAATAAAAATGGTATAAAATTATAAAATAAATAAAATAAAATATAAATAAACGTGAAAAACATAAATAATAGTAAATTAGTTTTTAGTCGAATCAATTAGATAATTTTTGTATTAGCTTCAAATCAGAGATCAAAATGCGGACAAGACGTTAAAATTCAAGTTAATATCAAAATGCCAGAGAAAAATATACAAATTAAATTATATTTAGGCCAAAAATCACAATGAAAATTAAATTTTACTGTATGAGAACAAAAAAAGGAGTACCAACTTTCACAAAAAAATCTCGTCCAAGATTTTTTTTACTCAGCAATTCATTATGCATTTTCACAAGTCAAAGGACTCTGTAATTTTCATTTTTCTTTTTTTGCTCAAAACTTTCGATCTTAAAGTTTCCTTCTTTAGAGTGAGGGTTCACTCTTTTATATAAAGGAACCAAATGCCTCAGCACGCGCAGACCTCGTCAAACTGAAAACTTCACTTTTTTAATTACACCCTATAACGATATCCAGAATTTCATTCTTAATTTACCTAGTAATTATCTATATCCATAGTATATATATAATTCTTTTTTCACTACATCAGAATAGAAAATCCAATTTTTTCAAAATTGAATTTCAAATTTGGTAATTTATTTTTTTTCTTTGATCAAAAAAAAAGAAAACAAAGAAAAATATACGTAACTGTGTTTTTTATATACTTTTTTTCGGAGATTTATATTTCAGATCACGTAGTGAATTTAAAGGGCGAATCCACAGAGATAATTGTGTCTCCATTGCACGCGATGTCAGGCACAAATGCGATGATTTCTTTAGAGGAAGCATCTTTTTAAATTTTAGCACGATTCCTTGAAACTTGAGAGCATTTTGAACTCGTAAACGACTTTTGATGGTTTCTTTGTATACTTTATATGTGGATATATTTATTTTTTTTAAATACAAGTCATGCAAGTCGACGATTACGAACAGAATTCTTGTTTTATGACAAAGGGGAGAAGGAAATATGACTTTAGTGATGTTTTTTTCGAAATCCAAAAGAAAATACGTGTTTGTCTTTATAAAATTGAGAACCTTTATGTAGAAAAATAATAAATTGTCACTTAGTAGGAAATTTATTATTTTTCGAATGCTAATATATTAAATATTATAGATCAATTTTTAATTTTTATTGACAATATTCGCTGAAGATTGTTACTGCAAAAAATAATATTGAATTAAAATTTTCTACCAGCAATGAACCAAGATTACAAAAAATAAACAAACTCTTGTAATTTTCAATTATTTTTTAATTTACTTTTGGGTCAGAATTCGTGAAATTTTCACAGAAAAGAAAAAGTATTTTTTTTAAATCGAAATGTTGAAAAAACATTTCTATTTGGCCTTAAAAATGTGTCCACCAAAAAACAGAAAAAAAATTATTTTTTATAAAAGATATTGCAAAATTAATTTTTTTGCAACTTTTTAAACAACATTTTATTTCTCCTAAATGAATGAACCGATTTAAA